TATAAAACTGAAATCATATTTACATATGTATTCAGACCCTTTACTCAGTACTTTGTTGAAGCACCTTTGGCAGCGGTTACAGCCTTGAGTCTTCTTGGGTATGACGCTACAAGCTTGACACACCTGTATTTTGGGAGTTTCTCCCATTCTTCGCTGCAGATCCTCTCAAGCTCTGTCAGGTTGGATGGGGAGCGTAACTGCACAGCTATTTTCAGTTCTCTCCAGAGATGTTAGATCGGGTTCAAGTCTGGCTGGGCCACTCAAGGACATTCAGAGACTTGTCCCGAAGCCACTCCAGTGTTGTCTTGGCTGTGTGCTTAGCGTCGTTGTCCTGTTGGAAGGTGAACTTTCACCCCAGTCTGAGGTCCTGAGCGCTCTGGAGTAGATTTTCATCAAGGATCTCTCTGTACTTTGCTCCGTTCATCTTTGCCTCGATCCTGACTAGTCTCCCAGTCCCTGCCCCTGAAAAACATCCCCTCAGCATGATGCTGCCACCACCACCATGCTTTACCGTATGGATGGTGCCAGGTTTCCTCCAGACGTGACACTTGGCATTCAGGCCAAAGAGTTCAATCTTGGTTTCATCAGACCAGAGAATCTTGTTTCTCATTGTCTGTGAGTCCTTTAGGTGCATTTTGGAAAACTCCAAGCGGGCTGTCATGTGCCTTTTACTGAGGAGTGGCTTCCGTCTGGCCACTCTACCATAAAGGCCTGATTGGTGGAGTGCTGCAGAGATGGTTGTCCTTATGGAAGGTTCTCCCATCTCCACAGAGGAACTCTGGAGCTCTGTCAGAGTGACCATTGGGTTCTTGGTCACCTCCCTGACCAAGGCCCTTCTCCCCCGATTGCTCAGTTTGGCCGGGCGGACAGCTCTAGGTAGAGTCTAGGTGGTTCCAAACTTCTTCCATTTAAGAATGATGCAGGCCACTGTGTTCTTGGGGACCTTCAATGCTGCAGAATTGTTTTGGTACCTTTCCCCAGATCTGTGTCTCTACACAATCCTGTCTCGGAGCTCTACGGACAATTCCTTAAACCTCATGGCTTGGTTTTTGCTTTGACATGCACTGTCAACTGTGGGACCTTATATAGACAGGTGTGTGCCTTTCCAAATCATGCCTAATCAATTGAATTGACCACAGGTGGACTCCAATCAAGTTGTAGAAACATCTCAAGGATGATCAATGGAAGCAGGATGCACCTGAGCTCAATTTCGAGTCTCATAGCAAAGGGTCTGAATACTTATGTAAATAAGGTGTTTGTTTTTTATTTGTAAAATATTTGAAAACAGTTTATAAAAACCTGTTTTCTTTTCACTTTGTCATTATGGGGTATTGTGTGTAGATTGATGAGGAAAACATTTAATTTAATCAATTTTAGAATAAGGCTGTAACGTAACAAAATGCATATATTGAATATTTATGCTCCTAACTTCGATGTCCATACAGTATGTTTATTCAGAATGTCTTCTTTCAGGTTGCTCAAGCACCACCAGGATGGCTACTGGCTGGAGGAGATTTAATTTTTTGTTTAGATACAGTTCTTGATAGGTCCTCTGATAAACTCTCCCCTCTTACCAAAGCCGCCAAGCTCACCATGTCACTCATGAAGGATCTCAATTTACTAGACGTCTGGAGACAGATGCACCCACAGGATAGGGACTAATCTTTTTATTCACACCCACATAACACACGCATAGATAACTTTTTTTGCTATCAACCCAACTGTTTCATAGAGTGTTAGACACCGATTATCTCCCCAGATTGCTTGGTAACCATTCTCCTCTGGTATTATCAATCTCCCTCCCTACCAAGGTAAATGGAGCATATGGATGGAGACTAAATTCTACTCTCCTGAAGCAACCTTAATTTTATACATTCATCAAAGAGCAGATCAATATTTTTACTTCGACAAACAAACCCTCTGCTCCTGACAGTTTCATTCTTTGAGATGCATTCAAAGCCAATCTGAATGGACAAATCATTTCCTATACGAAAGGGTTGACGAGAAAACACTGTGCCGAACTGAATGTCCTTGAATCTGAAATCTCGGAGCTAGAGAAAACCTACCAGAGGCCTAACTAAAGACCTATACAGGCTTTTGGTAAATAAAAAACAAATATAATACTCTGAACACGTATCAAGCTCAGAGGGCCATTACTAAATCAAAACAGCGTTACTACGAACTTGGAGAGAAAGCACACAAAGTATTGGCATGGCAACTGAAAGCTGAGGAAGGTAAGAGGACAATTAATGCTATAGAAACCCTTACCAATGAGATATCTTTAGACCTTAATGATACTTTTAAGAAATACTATGAGGACCTCTATACTTCCCAATCAAGCGATGATCTATCAGAGATCAACTCTTTTCTCTCCTCTCTCAACCTCCCATGCCTGTCAGAGGAGGACAGAGAGCGCCTGAGTGAACAGTTCTCAGTCCCTGAACTGTTGGAGGCCATTAAATCTTTACCTTCTAATAAATCTCCTGGGAAGGATGGCTTACTTTATGGAGGTACTTAAAAAAGCCGGGGATGACAACTGCTTTCCAGAGTCTCTCTTAAACTGTGATTACAGTAATTCATAAGAAAGGGAAAAACCAGGTAAAGTGTGCCTCCTATAGACCAGTCTCTCTCCTTAATACAGATTGTAAACTGGTCACCAAGATGCTATCTAAGAGACTGGGGTCATGCCTCCCCCTGCTGGTCAACCCAGATCAGACTGGCTTCATAATTAATAGATTGTCCTCCAATAATCTCAGAAGGTTCTTTGATATAATTAATCTTGCTAACAAAAACAAAATACCTAGTATCACAGTCTCCCTTGATGCCGAAAAGGACATTGATAGGGTCGAATGGCCATATCTCTTTTGAGTTTTGGAAAGTTCGGTTTAGGCACCGTGTTTGTAAACTTCACAAAATCACACTACAAATGTCCTAAAGCTAGGATTGCTACCAATGGGATTACTTCCTCCTCTTTCCCTCTCTACAGGGGGAACAGACAGGGTTGCCCTATTCACCTCTACCTCTTTGCCCTCGCCATCGAACTGTTGACTGAGGCCAATAGAACGTGCTTTGAGGTGGGCCCCCATACCCATAAGTTATCACTTTTTGCGGACAACCTTATTTTATTTCTAACGAACCCAGAACATTCCCCGTCACTTACAGAACCTATTACAGTATTATAGTTATTTCTCTGGATATAAGGTCAATTTTGATAAAAGCGAAATCTTGCCGTTGTCTGTCTTTGACTGTCATACCATCAAGCATAAGTTTCCTTTTAGATGGTCGCCTATGGGCTTCACATATTTGGGCATAATGATGGATGGTAACCTGAAGAACCTCTATAAACTCAATATGGCCGGTTTGTTGCAAAAGGTGGAGGGTGACCTGTATACAGTGGGGAAAAAAAGTATTTAGTCAGCCACCAATTGTGCAAGTTCTCCCACTTAAAAAGATGAGAGAGGCCTGTCATTTTCATCATAGGTACACGTCAACTATGACAGACAAATTGAGAATTTTTTTTCCAGAAAATCA